TCTACAAATACCAGGAAAAAAGGTTAGTGAATTTTTCACAGAACATTGGCTGGTTTTGTTCGAGGTTAGTGGTCACGTACACGTGCAGTTTGCCACAGGAGAAAACCAACTGTCCTGTAACAGACATGCAACATATCTCCATGCTCTTGGAGTAGTAAGAAGCTGACATAACACACAGAATGCAGGGGCAATGTATATTAAGTTTATGTGAACAAATCACTAACAAAATATCAAAAGAAACTGAAAAGCTCTTAGCTTTTGATGATTTAAGCCACACCTTTAAAAACTAAATTATTTCCACTAATGCATTTTAGTAACAGGAAAAGGTGTTTCATATGCTGAACTACATAACTGTATATCCCCATTCCATAACTATACATTTTGCAGTGCTTTAACAACTGAGATAAACGTAAATCATTGAGCATTTTTATAACGTAGACTGCATGTTCATTTATAGCATGTTTTGAACTTGTCATTTAATAGAAAATACAGCTCAAGTCAGGAAAATGCTGGGTGACAAATCTGGATCCAGTCTGTCAATCAGGAATAGTTTAGGAATAATTGATCCTGCTGTGGAGCAAAGGCATAGTTTAGATCAGGGCTGTCCAACTTAAGTAGTCAGGGGTCACGCACCCCGGGACCCTTCCCCCCCAGCTGCATGGTGTGCACATGTTCAAGTGGCTGCTCCCAATCCCTGCTGCACCAAGGGTTGGGGGGGTGATCCCCACCCCACTATACTGTGAGTGGATGGACACTATGCACACACACAGGCACCCCCTCCCACACTGCTATACCATGAATGAGTGGGTGCTCCCCCCCCCAACCATATATGGGCTGGTGGGTACCCACCACCCCCCTGCACTCACGGGATGGACACTCTACCCACTGACCCTGCAAGGTGCAGCACCCTGCCTTTCAGCTCCCAGGCTCCCCTGATTCACTGGGTTGCACTGGCACTTCATGCTGCCAGCTCACCCAGTACCACTGGCTGTGCCACACCACACCACCATGCTCCCTAAGGCTAGATGAGGTTGAATGTGGAGAAGGGAGGGGCACACCCAAGATCCTGACTACTTGCTTTGGCAGCTGGATGGATGCTCATAGCCCACAGGTTAACCACACACAAGCCATAAGTGGTCTGCCAGCCACCAGTTTGTCTGCCCTGGTCTAGATGACCACTCAAAGTCTCTTCTACTCTTTTTTTCTATGATCACAGAGAAGACTCAAAAAGCATTTGTTATAATAATTTAAATTAGGCATGTTTACCAGAATGTGGAGTTAATAAATTGTAGTAGAACCTTGCTAATTCCTGCTAATGACAGAAAGACCTATGGAGAATTAATTAACTCTGTAAGTTAACAGCTTACAAACCAGAAAGAGAATGTATCAAAAATGTATTTTGTTGCATTTATTTTGGCATTTTTTTGCAATAGCTTCAATAGACAAGTGCCAACTTCTGCTTTTTTTCTCCTAAATCTGGTTTCATCATTGCTTCATCTCTTTCAGTCTTCCCTCCTCAATAAACCCCTTGTTTTGTCCTAAATAAGACTTGATTGGTTAGCTTTCTGGAAAGACTATTATTCATTTTACAGTACCTTGTACAACAGGGCACTAACTTTTTAGGGTTCTAAAACAGTACTGTAGACTAGACTAGGACTAGACTGTGCAGTTCCATGTATTCTATTCAAATAATGCAAATTTTATGGAATTTTACTACAACTAACTGCTATGAAACCTTTCTGGGAAGTGAAGAAACCAGAAATAGTTGTGTGTGGACCGAGATGGGCACAGGCAACCAGTGTGTATCAAGAAGGTTCTAACTGCACTTGCAAATGTCTACAAGAGTCTAAAACTTGTCAGAGGCATGCATCTGATTCCCACCCCCACAAACAAATATGTTTTAAGAGTCTGTATAATAAACGATAGATTATTTTAATCTTTTAGATAGAAAAAAACTGCACACACAATGAACATGAGCTTGCTCTTGCTACTGTGTTTCCATTGAACTTAATGGATCATCTTTTACGTTGATTTCAATGAGAACAGAATTGAGTCCTCAGGACCAGATTTTCAAAGCAATTCAGTTTGCAACACCTCCCATCGAGACATTTTCTTCATGCTTCAAAAGTTCAAGTTACCATTTTCAGAGACAGGAATCTAAACTTAGGGTTCTACCTCCTCAAATAAGCTCCTTTTCTGAAAAGAGAAACTTGATCAATTTTCTAATCACAAACAACTTGATTCAGGTGACGTTTTGAAGAAAATATTTTGACTTCTCAGATATTTAATGTGTTACTAAAAATAATGAACTATTGTGTTATAAAAAAAAATCCTGAAACATACAAAAACATTCCTGTAGAATTATATGACATTTCAAAGACTGAAAACTGTATTATAATGTACGAGAAGAAAAATAACATTTATGAAATTCACATTTCCACTTTACTTATGTCAGACATAAGCAAATGCACAACAGCAGGGTAAAAGCAAAACCAATTACTGGCATGTAATGTATTACATTCAAAATTAAAACACATGTTGGGAATCGTCCTTGCTCACTGAGTTCACTGGGACAAAAGATCTCTATTGCTGTCTGAAAAAGCAGTATAAAATATTTTTATTAGTATAAAAGGAATTTATAAGTCTTAATTTTATAAATAAAATGTGTTTGGATTTGATTAGAAGTATATGCTCATTAAAACCTTAAGTGGTCTATGTTGTGTTGCAATTTGTACTTTAAACAAACTTAAAGGTTAGGCTTTACATCTTTATACTAGTGCAGAAATTTACAAAGCCTCAGTTTTCTCTTTCGGTACACTTTTGGGTTCAATAAAACAGATGTATTTTATAAGGTATTTAGATTATGTGACAGGGTTACTTTAATTACAAAACAAGTGCATTTGGAAGAAAAAATTATAAAAAGGGAAAGTTAGAAAAGTTTTTTTATCACTGCTCAACCAGACTGTCTAATGAAATATTCATTTTGTCATGCTTTATTATAGACTCATTTAATGATTAATTTGAATTTATGGACAGAAGAGATCATGCACTTTAAGCAATACTTCTAACTGGAAACAATGTTTGCCTGCAGTAGAATTATTATTAAGAAAATAATTGCCAAATTGCTTTTTAGTGAAATGTGCCATGTGATAATAAAATCCATAGAAAGGTATCTACATTCAAACTGCCAGGTCAAAATCTTCAAATCCAATAAAGTTAACTGAATAACTTAGCCTCTCCCAGATTTTTGCCCCCATAACCAGTTCTAAACTACAATGATCCATAATGTCTGAACATAAAAAAAAAAAAAAAAAAAATCAAGAAAAATACAATTACTTTTATAGCGATTTATAATCCTTCTGAAGAGTAAAGGTATCATAAAGACATAGCTGATAATGCCGGTATGGGTTCAAATACTCAAATTCCGTAAGTAATACGTTTTAAAAAAAACACTAAATGCTGTAAAAGCCTGATTCCAGGTTAGAACAGCTATTACTTTTCCTTAGGGGTACTTTTTCAAAGTTTCTACTGTCTTTCTACTGTCTTCTAAGATACAATACAGCAGCACGATATTAGAATAGTTTGATGTATATAATTAAAGCATGTGGAAAGATACAGATTTTTTTTAAGATATAGCCAGAGGGATTTGGTAACTAAATGCAGTTAATATGGTTAAAAGCTTCTGAATAGAAACACATTTACTGTTGTATTTTAATCTAAACAGCATTTAACAAGGGGACCCTGTACTGCTAAATATACTACATGCGAGCCATGTCAACCAACCAGGTATAAAGGTGAGTGACATTTAGAAGAGTTATACCTGCATGGAAATAGAGTCAGAAAAATATTACGTAACAACAAAACTGCAACCTTATGCTTCATAAGCTTTACACATTTTATGAAATACCACAGTATAATATTATACATAATATATTAATATATATTAATTGTATTAATCTATTATTATATTATATTATATTATATACATTATATAATATATTGTATTATGTTCTGTTTCTTAAACTATGCCAAGTACTCATGCCTATGGAAACAGTAAAAGCATTACTGAATCACAGTGTTTACTTGTATCATGGCTTGTAGTATTCTGTATCTTTGTATAATTAGAAAACATTGAATATCACTGGGGCACACTATTTTTATTTATTTATACGTGTGCGTGTGTGTGCGCGCGTGCGAGTGAACGCACGCACACACACATATATTTTATAAGTTATATCTTTAAAATAGTGTGGCCCAGTGATACTTAATATTTTCCAACTATACAAAGATACAGAATACTACAAGACATAATACTAGAAAATACTGTGATTCAGTAATGCTTTTACTGTTTCCATAGGCATGAGTACTTGGCATAATTTAAGAAACTGATTATTTCCTACTTTGCCTATTCTAAATATCTGAATACCAGAAAAGTGGTTGCAGGAATATCAACAGAAATCTAAATGCAGTTTAGGTTTGTATGCATCTTTTCACCAAATCTGTGAGAAAAAATGTACAGTAGTCTAAATAGCTAGATTAATTTATACTTGCTGTTAAAGATAGTTTCATTTTAAACTTTAAAAAATAATATTTTATATATTCTTTCTGAACATCTTCCAAGGCAGATAAAGTCTGGCAATAAAAAAAAAAAAGGGGGGGGGGGGTAAATAAACAAAATACACCAAGTCGTGCAACTTCAGAACAGCTTCACTTCTGTCCAAAAATAAACATTTCAAATTTTTAAAGCAAAGAAGGAAAATGAAATATGTTGGAAAATTATGTGGTTTCCATTTGAAGTTGATTGCTTTTGCTGCTTAGCAGACAAAGCATAATGGAAAAGTTGGATCTTTTTAAAAACAGAATTTTAACAGATTTAAAAGGAATTCTAATACATTTAATAATTAAGGTACAGCACAATTCTAAAAGTGTAACCCATTTATTTTCTATTTAACAAAATCTCACCAAACCCTGTAGTGACAATACGAAAATTAATATAATACCTTTCCTCTCAGAACGTTTCTTACGCCTCCTTTTATAGCGACGCTTCACAATGCTGAACAAAGTCCCCATATTCAAAGTCGCAGTTAGGAGAGATGCCATCCAGGCTAAAAGCTACAATCCACAGCCAGCAACAGTCACCAGGGTGCTATGTCTCACTGTCTCCCTTAATAACTCACGGTATTAATACAGTAAGGCTTAACAAGAACCATTAACCCTTTGTTATGTCAGGACCACAAACTCTCCTAGTCTATTCAAGGTCCATTCATCAAACTGCAGGATAAACTGCACAGTATACTAAACACTGCAGTTCATTCCCACCACCTGCAAGAGGCACATGTGACAATTAACCCTTAAATATTGTTTTGAAAATGACAAAGAGAATAGATGTAAAATGTTTCTAAGACCGAACATGCTTTTCCAGGAATGAGAACACTAAATCCACACCAACTGGTTACGTTCTCTCCCTTTCACCTGTTTAAAACATGTTTATAAGAGAAAAGCCAAGATCAATTAAAGTAAAATTAAAAAGCAAGGAAAGAAAAGGTCCCAACAGCAATGTTAGCTCAGTCAAATTGTGTTCCCCTCTATATTTTATAGCTTTTTAACAAGTCAAATATTTAAAACAGACATAAAACAAGAACATCAACATACTATATATGCTGAGTACATGCAACACGCAAAGCATGTCAAAGAAGGTACACAAATGTATTATCACTGTTTGCTGCTGAGAGTGCCTGGATATCAAGAGTGGACATTTTGAGCGCATACAGTATTATACATTTTAGGTTATATTTCTAGCTAAGAAAACAAGGATCAATGCCATCAATAAATATGTCTCTATTCTTGATGAAAACTGTATTTTTTTGACACACCCTGTGCTAATATTCCTGCAAGAATCCTGACTTTGGCTTTTCTTGGGTCTTTCTTTAACTGTTAAAACTTAATGTAGCATTAGTGTAGTGTGAGCTTTCAGTTTCATATATTGCACATATTTATATACACAAACATGCATATATTTTACACAGGTAGGTGCAAAAATATCATGCATAGATACGTAAATATCCAAGTTAAGTGTGTATTTACATAAACACTTTTTACATATATACATGCACAGAGTGCCTGCTTTTGCAACATTAACACACTTCAGGAAATTAAACAGAGTAAAGAAAATTAAAAAAGGACTTGCAGAATACTAAATCATACTGAACCCTCAACCCAGGTAACCAAGCTAAATTTGAATACAGGCCCATTAGATCCAGGGCACAGAACACAAGGTTAACTGCTAGCACTAGTAAACTGTTATCCTCTAAGTACAGGCATACCTCGTTTTATTCCGCTTCGCTTTACTGCGCTTCGCAGATATTGTGTTTTTTTACAAATTGAAGGTTTGTGGCAACCCTGCGTCGAGCAAGTCTATCGGTGCCATTTTTCCATCGGCGCCATTTTTCCAACAGCATTTGCTCACTTCGTGTCTCTGTGTCACATTTTGGTAATTCTCGCAATATTTCAAACTTTTTCATTATTATTATATTTGTTATGGTGATCTGTGATCTTTGATGTTACCCTGATCAGTCAGCAGCCATCAACATCGAGGCAAGACCCTCCACCAGCAAAAAGATTATGACTCGCTGAAGGCTCAGATGATGGTTAGCATTTTTTAGCAATAAAGTATTTTTTAATTAAGGTATGTACATTGGATTTTTAGACATAATGCTATTGCACACTTAATAGACTACAGTATAGTGTAAACATAACTTTTATATGCACTGGGAAACCAAAAAATTCGTGTGACTCGCCTTATTGCGATATTCGCTTTATTGTGGTGGTCTGGAACCGAACCCGCAATATCTCCAAGGTATGCCTGTAAATCAGTTGCTAGAGAGGTACTTTTTAATAGAGGGATGAGATAGGAACCCACATATTCCACTGCATAGCAGTAAGTAAACTGTGAAGCAATGCCCCTATATTCTCCTATAATGTTTATTCTAGCAAGAGAATTCCTTTCATTTCCTTTCCCCATTGCTCCCACCCATCTCACACATGCAACTCTCTCTCACAGTACTGTGGTAAAATAGGCTTTAGCCAGCTGCTATCTAACTTGTAATCAAAGCTGAGCAAAGAGAGGAACAGATGACTAAGTGCATTTTGATGTCAGGGTAGACCTCCATATGTGAAGATGTCTTCTGAACATGCTTTCACTGGCATCTTCAAAATGTTCATAACTTTGATATTCAAGAATGATCTATTCCTACTTAAACCACAGCTTTCTTTGGGCTAAGCAAGTAAGCAGCCACACCTCTGACAGTACCATTTTGAGAACACACCAATAGTCTAGAGAACTAGAACTTATATAATTAGAAAGAAAAACATTCAAAACAAAGTGAAGGCAACTAAAGCGGTGACATATATCCTAAGGCCAGAGAAAGTTTTAAAACAATAGCTCTAAGAGATTAAAACTCTTAATTATCATTATGAAACATTAATTTGACAGGCCAATGATCATTTTAAATATCAGCAATGATGGATACTTCTGATAAAAAAGAGTAATAAGCAAAACGACATTATGATCTGTGCAACATACTGAGAAAACTCTCATTTGATGCAATGATGATGACACGGAGATTGACCTGAATTTATCCTTTTCTAATTCAGTCAGAGGAGCCCAAGACAACTTTGAGCCCAATCATACCCTACTCAACCATATCTTCTCTAGAACAGCAGGGATCTTATCTTTCCTAGTGGTAAGAAAACTCTCAGACAAGTTGCTTTCTGGCTCAACTCCGCTAAAGGCAGGTTTCCAGATGCAAACAATGCATTCTTGCTGTGAATTTATGTTCTTAAACTCTTCCCTTCTTAACTGAAGACTAGAAATATTCCTTTTATTTAAAAATTACATTTAAATTCTTACATCAGACTCTGGAAGTTGAAATCTGATCCACGTGTCTATTGTATTTGATTTACTTCAGTTCTGCTCAAGGGTGAAGCTGAATCAGACTGACTCAAAGGCAAAACCAAGGAGCCCAATAAAATTCACACAATCATATTTTCAATGTTTGCACAGTCTACTTAGGCTGTATTTCAAGAAGATGCAGTTTGGCCTTGTGCCAGGGCTTATAATTGTACCATACTCTTTCGCGTTTTCCCCCCCCACACAATAAGCACCCTTATTTTCAAGATACTACTCCTTGCTGATGAATGAATGGCTCTACATTTAAAATTTCAGTTCACATCATTAAGTGCTACATGACGTGTTACCCAAAATAAGAACAAATATTTTACTTAATCATAACTAAAAAAGATGACTACTTATCCGGCACACTGTACAGCAACCAATTTTTAAAAAAATCTATCAGACTTATATACTAGATGCATCTTATCTAGAGTGAAGTGGATAGCCAGAGTTTGTTTAGCTTAAGGGAGGAAGAAAAAAAAGAAGGGGGAATTATGTCATTCAGAAATGTAGAAAAGGAAAAATCATTTACAAGAATGAGAACACCCTTTCCCTTTAGAGAAACTGGATATTTCTTAAAAGAGTATTGTCCAGTAATCAGAAGACCCCATTCTATTAAACTGATCACCAGAGGAAAGCAAGAGAAGATACAAGAACTTAGAAAAGGGACCCAACCCCAACTATCCCCAAAGAACACACCACTATTTATCTGAGAAAGACACGTACCACCTCCCAGCACCATGTCCCCACATTTTCTGTTTCTGTCTTCCCTTTGTTTACAGTAGTCTAAACTGCAGGCTCAGCCTCTGAGTTCAAGACCTTCCACCATATTACCATTCTGTAGTAACTTCCACCTTTAACTGCATTCCAAAACTCTCAGGCTTCTCTCTATATACAGGACAGTGAGGAAAAAAAAAACCCAAACCCAATGAATTCTGAATTTCGCAATTCAACAGTCTTACTGTTCTCCATAGGAACAGGTCAATTTCAAAGAAAAGTTGAGATGGTTGTAAAAAAAACAACAACCATCACATCACCTTGCTCATCACCACTACTAAAGGTAACTCAGAAAATGAAACAGTGTAATAATTCTCTTCCACTGCTATATACAGTCTGTAGAACTAAAAGAGCAAAGATTTTCAGTTAGTAAATAATAGAATATTCTTATTTATAAAACTGTAGATACACCCAAAGGCCCCATTGTGCAAATACATAATAGCAGAGAGTAACTTCCAGAAAAATATCATCTAAATCAGGGGTGTCAAACTCATCAGTCTTTGTGGTCTTGGAGCCTGCCCCACATGTGCTCTAGTCCAAGACCCATGGGCAGCACTGTGGGTCAGATGTTAGGACTCCATGGACCAGATCTGGCCTGCGAGCCATATCTTTGACACCCCTGATGTAAGTGGATACAAAAGAACTCAGTAGTGTAAGGATGGGTGGGTGAGTGGGGCACAAGCCCCAAACACTGTCTAATGGGGGGGCAGCCCCAGAATGGAGCAGAAGGTGGCTCGCCCCGCTGTCCCATCCTCCTGAAAACTTTTATCTTAAGCTCCAGAAGAAGAGAAGTGGCAGCAGCACAGAAGCATGCAGAGTGTGAAGGGCAGTTTGGGAAATATAGTTCTGTCAAGCAGCAGTGAGCAGCAGTCCATTTTTTGGCTACCAACACTCATGTCAAGCAGCCAAAGACACACCACTTTTTGGTGGCCAAAAAATCTGGTCCACATTCCTCCCAGTAGCAGCAAACTCCAGTTGCCTCCATATCACTTCCTGCTGCTGGAGCCTCTGAAGTCAGAGCCCTGAGAGCAAGGTACAGAGGGAGGTGGAAAATGGGACTTCTCAGGGTGCAGTGGTGGCCAGTAATATGTCTGACATAACTTAGTCATCTCTCTGATTTTTTATTTACAGATACTATACTTATAAGGAAAAATTATTTTGAAAAAAGTCCTCAAATTTAATCTTGGAGGAAATTCAGATCAAATACCTGTCACTTCCATCTGAAACTTACATTCTCCACCCACACCAAAAACCTATTACTATGCACCAGTAGACCACAGTAGGTTTCAGCCACTCAGCTTCCTCCCAAGTATCCCTAATCAAACTGTTTTCCAGACAGCAAAGGTCTCTCCACTTCCAGGTTCTCAAAACCATGCCCAGTGTATGATCAAGATGCAACAGATCAAGCTCAACGTTTGGATATACATAAAGTATTCAGTAGGTTGGTGCCTTGAAGGGGAACTCTGAGCAGGGTACCACTACTACAATCTTTGAAAAGATGGGGAATGAGAATAGCAAAAAGCAGGGGAGTGTCTGAAATAGAATATGCATCAGAGAAGCAAACAGAATGAAATGAAGAGACTCTGGACTTTGATCAAGACTTGAAGAAGCACTCAAACTAATCAAACTCCCATGCTTGTGGGGGGGGTATAAACTTGAGAATTTGGAACGCAGTATCTGACATTTCTTAAAAGAATAAGATTGAAGATTAAAAAATTCTTTACAAGTGCAGCAGAAATGATTCAAGAAAATAGTTGTATGGAATTTTTAAAACTCACATAATAGATTACCAGACTATTTGAGCAAGAACACATACTACAAACCTAAACTTGTTTCTATGTTACTATAAGCTAGAAATACTGGACTACATTTTGTTGTCATTTACAGTAGAGTTAGTCTGGATTTAAAACAATGCAACAGAGATCAAAGACTGACCCATTTTATTTGCTTCACTAACCAACAAATTTAAATTTTGTTAGATTCTGAGATGGTGCAAATTGACTTCCCTACCTAACAATTTGGCCCTCTGTTTCTCCTCTTAAAATAATTCAGATTAATGAACAATAAACCTTCCTATCATAATACTATACTTCTTCTGTATTGCAAGTCAGAGTAATTTTAAAATTTACTAGCTTGACAAGGCAAACAGTATCCTAATTGTGTTAAATTTATGTGCTATGAGCTGCAGATTACATCTAACGGTTCATCAGCTCTTTTGTTACATTTTAATTTATTTCTGGACCACTCAATGAAGAATTCCTATAATTTACTGCCTAAGTCAGTATCTTTACTACCACGTCTTAAATGCATCTACATTGCTTCATTTTGCTATAAGACAAAATAGAAAAATAAAAGCAAATTTTATAAACAGTAACTGCAAGATCAAAAGATTTTGCAGCAGGATATACATAGTGACATCTAAAGCAATCAATCATGTACCAAGATAAAAGTAACTACAATATAGTAGTTACTTAGTACATAGAACAAATTGAGCTTCTTGTCTTAACAGTGTACTTCAAATTTCTAAATGCTGATGGGAGTACCTCCATACATTACTGTACACA